TCCTACTATCTCTGAAACATATGCCCTGACCAATTGTGTACGGTGTAAACAAACCCTACTGGCTAAATCCATTAGTTGGTTTGGAACTCAGCCAAGCATTCTATTGATATTCCATTGTATTTGATTAAATGAACCCTCCAGAATTCATTACAATGGTGTTTCCAAAGATGTCTGTATTGTCAGGTATATATTCAGTTATTTCAAAAACTAAACAGATGTTTGCACATCAAATCAACATAAAGACTTAAGAACAGGGTTCAGTTGGCATATTAAAATCTTAATCCCAATGCTGTTGAATGCAGACAACCACATTATCAATGGACCATAAGCTCTGAAGAAGTCAGAACACAAACAAACCATTTGGATCAGGCCTTAACTGCATTTTCCTGCATATCGCTGTTACCCTTGTCTCCATAATCCTGAACTCACTTACACATCAAAAAAAAAATTGTCTAAACCAACGTTGACTATATTTTTTTAAAAACAGCCTTCATTGTTCTCTATGGAACAGAATTCCAAATTTTAACCACACTCTGTGAGTAAAAATTCATGTTCATCTCAGTGTTAAATGTCAGACCCTTTAATTTGAAAATTGAAAATTTGTTTCCCATAAGGGAAAACATCTTAACAGCATCTAACCTCTCAAGCCCACTCAAAATCTTACATGTTTTAATAAGATCATAGTTAATTGTTCTAAACTCCAATGAATGTAAATGCAACTTGCTCAACCTTTCCTTATAAGACAACCCTTCGTCCAGGAATCAGTCTAGTAAAGCTCTTTTGAACTGCGCCCAAAACATACACATCATTCCTTAAGTAAGGAGACAAAATTTCACACAGTACTGAAGGTGTGGTCTCACTATTGTCCAATACAGTTATAGCAAGGAATTCCAATTTCTTTACTACATTTCCCTTGGAGTACTGGCCAACATTCCATTTACCATCCTAATTACATGCTAACTTTTTCTGATTCGTGTACAAGGGCAAACAGATTCCTCTACACTGCAGCATTCCAAATCTCTCTCCACTTAAATAATATTCTGATTTTCTATTCTGCCTGCCAAAATGTCATACCTTACATTTTCCCTCCTTATACTACATTTGCCACATTTTTGTACACTTACTTAACCTATCAATATCCCTTTGTAGATTCTCTGCATCCTCATCACAACTTGGTTTCCAACCAATCTTTGTGTCATCTGTAAATTTGGCTGCAATGCAACCTGTCCCTTCATCTGAGGTAACAAAGATCTTAAGTAGTTAAGGCCACAACACTGATCCCTGTGGCACTTCATTTGTTTCAGTTTACCAAGCTGAAAATGATATATTTATGCCAATGCTGTTTCCAGTTATTTAGCTAATCCCCCAATATATCACCCAAAACCTTGAGCTCTTATCTTGTGCAGTAAACTTTTGTGTGACACCTTACCAAATGTTTTTAAGGCATCTAAATATACTTAATCTATTGGTTCCATTTTATCCACCCTGTTTGCACAACATCAAAAACTAATAAATATGTTAAATATAATTTACATTTCACAAAACCATATTGATTCTGCCTTATTATGATCTTCTAAATATCCTGCTACTACCTCCTAGTAGCTCTATAGTCTTGTCAGACTATGGCGACTTGACTTGAGTAATGAATTCTAGCATTTTCCCAATGACAGGTGTTAGCTAATAGCCTATAGTTTCCTTAATTTGTCTTCCTCCTTTCTTGAATACAGGTGCTACACTTAAGATTTACTAACCCAGTAAGACACTGCCAGAATCTAGGGAATTTCAGAAAATTACAAGTGCTTCCAATATCTCTGCAGCCACTTCTTTTAAGTCCTTAAGATTCAGTCCATCAAATCCAGGAAACATGTTAGCCTTTAGTCCCATTAGTTTTCTACTATTCTGTTTGCTTATTTATTTTCTTCTATTCTTGGGATGTTTTCTGAGTCTTCTACAGTGAAGCAAAATACAAGACAATTGTTCAAGACGTTTGCCAATTCCAAATTTCTGAATATAAATTTGCCTATCTATCAACTTTGAATGACACCAACTTTGCTATTCCTTTTCTTTTTGCATAATACTAAACTTTTTACTCACTGTTTTTATTTTTCTTGCTATATCTCACTCATAATTCAATCTATTACTCTTTTTATTTTAATAACATTTTGCTGGTTTCTAATTTTTTTCCTAATGTCCTCAACCATCCTTAATCTTTGCAGTGTTTTATCCCTTTTCTTTAAATTTCATACCATCCTTAACTTCCCTAGTTAGCCATGAATAATACATCCTTTACAAAGAATCTTTCTTTGTCAGTGGAATTTGTCTTTTCAGAGTTATGAAATATCTTCTTAAACGTTTATCACTGGTTCTCCAATGATTTAACTTTTTATCCATTCTCCAATTCCACTTAGCCAAATCTGTCTTCATACCCTTGTGATTGCTGTTGTTTGATTATGTCTCTAGTTATGAATTAACATTTCTCATCGTCAAACTGAACCTGAAATTCTATCATGTTATGATCACTCTTACCAAAAGGATCTTTTACTATGAGGACATCCATTAATCCTGCTTTATTACACATTACCAAGTCTCTAACCTAGTAATTTTATGATTACAGTCTGTGAACTTCAGACTATCTTCATCAAGTAGATTTATCCAATCTATATGAAGTCTAAAATCTACCTAACAGTACATTTCCTATAAGTTCCTATTATTTCTTAATTTATACTGTGTCTCATGTGTAACTACTGTCAGGGGACCTATAAACAAATCTCACAAGTGGCTTATTTCCTTTGTTATCTCTACCCTCAACTTAAATTGATTTTACATAGAATAGAATAGAATCTCTACAGTGTGGAAAGAGGCCATTCAGCCCATCAAGTCAGCACTGACTCTCCAAACAGCATCCCACCCCTTATCCTACCTCATATTTACCATAGCTAATCCACTTAGCCTGCACATCCCTGCACACTACAGACGATTTATCATGGACAATCCACTAACCTGCACATGTTTGTACTGTGGGAGGAAACTGCAGCATTCAGTGGAAACCCAAGTAGACACGGGGAGAGCGCGCAAACTCCACACAGACAGTCAACAAAGATGGGAATCAAATCCAGGTCCCTGGCACTGTGCAGCGGCAGTGCTAACCACTGTGTCACCATGCCACCCCAATCTGCTGAGTCAAGTTAATGCTTCATCAGTATACTGAATTCATCCTGTACTAACAAAGCTACTTCACCATTTTTTCTCTTTGTTATCCTTCCAAAATGTCAAATGCCCTTAAATATCAAGGTCCCAACCTGGTCACTTTCAAACCATATCTATGCAATGGTATCATCATGCCATCTTTTTACAAATGCAGAATATATTCACATAAAAAGTCATTAATTCTATCTTCTTACCATGTTTCCCCACTCTGCAACTTTGTGCTAGTGTGCTCTTATGTTATATTCTCTGTCCATTCCTTTTACATTCTGAAAATCACTATCTTACCACAGCCCTGCACTACTGCCATGTCCTTCCTCTTCAACTTTTCACACCTCCCCTCATGTGAACACTCCTCCTTAGCTATCAATCCAGAGATTATTAATTTTTGATGTTCTGCTTTTTACTTTAGCCCTGGCTGCTCATACTTCCTCAGCAGAACCTCTTTCTTCATCTCACCTATCTCATTGCTGCTCAGGTGAACCATGACAACTGGATTTTGCCTCTCTCACTCCAAGTTCTTCTTCAACCCGAGGCAATGTTCTTAACATTAGCACTGAGCATACATCTAAACACTTTTGCAATGCTGTTCAATTTAATGCTCAGTTACATTTTAAAGACTAAGTGGCAGCTGAAGTTCCCACCATAATAGAGCCACTCTGTTCATTCTGTTCATATCAAAAAATAGCTTGAATAATGGGCTTCAACAATATTATGGTTGCAGTGCTGAAGAATTATGTCCCAGACTGGCTGCGCACATAGCCAAGCTGTTCCAGTACAACTATGATACTGGCCTCTACTTGACAATGTTGAAAACTATGCCCGTATTTCCTGTTGACAAAAAGCAGCACAAATCCGTTTCAGGCATTCGTCAGACCGCTCAGCCTACTCTCAATCATCAACATGGCATCATGAGAAGTGCTAACACGTGTCATTAAGTTCCCAATGACATGGTTGCTTATGCCAGCTTGGATTATGCCAGGACTGCCAGCTCCAAACCTCATTACAGCCTTCAACTAAACATGAACAAAACTGTTGAAATCCATGATTGAGATTCACTTAGAACTATATTATTATTATTTCATGGTGAATTAATCAAAACTTTGAACTGCCTACCAAACAGTACTGTGAATGTACTGTAAACTACATGGACTGTAATAATTCAAGAAGGCAGCTCGCTGCTAATCTCAATTTGCAGTAATTGCCAGCAAACCACCACACCCATATTCCATGAATGGGTATAAACGATTACAGTATCAGAGCACGACTTAAACATAATAATAGTGTCCCAGCTTCATGGGTCATGACCACCACCATAAAAATTACGACAAGCACAAACATATCAGCTCAAGGGTGATGAGCCAAATTTTATTGATTACCCCAGTTAGCCTCCTCCTGCTCATTGCTGGGGTTAGAGATTAGGTCATTAATATTGAACTTATTGACCAAAGTATAATAAACATTGAAACATTCTGCCAACTCATTTTCACCTATTTGTCACTGTTGAACAGTCTAAATCCACAACAAGGAACATGTCTCCTTTTCAATATGACATCCTAAATCAATGCAAACAGGCCTTAAGGCATAAGAAAAACAGTCATCCTTTGTAACACATTGTCAAATATCAACTGCCTTCTAATAGTAAATTCATAAATAATCCTGCTCAAATCCAACTCTTAATCCTGTCAAGTTTGATTTATTCAATTGTTTGAACTCAAACATTCAAACATAACATTAAACAGATACTTGCGTGCCTGATCAGAGAAGACTTTTTGCATGGTTCTGAAGGTACTTACGGTTTGTTCTGGTACAAGACACGCGGTTCTGGCTCCAGGAACGGAATACATTTTTGTTTCAGTAAAGAACTGTACAACGAGCGGTTGAACAAGTCCCCAGTCATCCTAGCCACCATGACAGCTACCATTATTGGCAGTAATGACTGCACATCATTGGTTAGTTCCACCTGGAACAATGTGGGAAATAAAACAGTTCAGCATAAACCTCAAAAACAGTTGCAAGCTTAGTTGGAAGTTTTAGATTTTAATTTAAAATTAGGTTAAGTAAGAATGTTTTTAAAGAGGAATTTAACGATTTGGTCAGAATTAAGGAAGGTGTTGACTTCCTTTACTCTTAGATAATAGATCAATTGATGTGTGTCTTCTCTGGAAATAAAATCACAAAGCCCAAGCTCCTGTTCAATGTAATTTTACAGCAGTTTCCCATATTTTATAAATTGTTTTTGATAAATCACAACATAAAATTAAGCTATAGATAAAGAAAACAGAAATTTTAACATTTAATTTTCTTTTGTTCACCACTTCACTGTTCCACAATTATAACGCATATGTAGTGTACTTGAGCTAGATTTTCGTCCAACATGTTTTCACCAACAAGAATGAATTGGGATTGGACATTTGTTGCCCTGGTAGCAACATGACTAAAGGTTTGAGACCATTAAAATGCAAGGTAATTCCCAGCTTTATCTTCAACAAAATAATACTGTAAAATCCAACAATACTACAGCAGAGCAATTTGAGGCAGGTGAGAGTAGAGCCAGAAACCCATTCTCTCATCTCCAGAGTCTATTCTTGGATCCTTCTTTACCCCACTTGTAAGCTGCCTTTCCAGAACCTCTTCTCGATTCATGGAATTGACTCCACATATACTTAGGTCATTATGATGGCACTTACCTCTACCTCTCTCCCACATTTCTTGACCTTTCAATTACTTCTGTGCTGTCACTTTGCTTGTTTAATATCCAATCTTGTATACGTTACAATTTATTCAATTAAATATTGAGAAGCTTGAAGCCATCAGCATTCTCCTCCAGCATAAGCTATGTACCCTGGTCATTGACCTTACATCCCTCTACAGAAAGCTTCTGGAGTTATTATCTCCCCAGTAACTTCTTCCCAGTAATCTGCAGCACCAAGATAGCAGGCGAGTCAAGGAACTTTTGATAGAAAGTCAGAGACAGAGCTGGATTTGTTGGAGTTGACTGGAATTGCTCTACTAGAGAAAGGACCTAGAAAAAGAAAAAGGGGATTGGATAGCTTTGTTAATAAAGGAAGGCATCAGTGCAGTGGTGAATAGTGATAAAGGTGCAATAGATTGTGTTGTGGAATCAGTTCAGGTAGAATTATAGAATAGCAAGGAAAATAAGTTGCAGGTGGAATTTGCCTATGGACTCCCAAAGAATTGCCTCATGGTAGGAAAGTAATGGAGGCACGTAGGAGGGGCACTTTAAATGTCTTGGGTGATTTTAATTTGCATATTGACTGAGAAGAATGTTGCAGAATCTACTTGGGAACAGGTGCTTTTAGATCTAATAATGTGTAATGAGATAGGAGTAATAAGGGAATATGTAGCTAAGGATCCTCTGGTGGGTAACTATCTCAACATGGTGAAAGTCCAGTCTCATTTTGAGGGAGAGTAACTCAGGTCACAAAGTAGTGTCTTCAACTTAATTAATGTCAATTACTGACGTATGAAGAAAGAGTTGTCTCATGCACTCTGGGAAAACAAACTAAGGTGAAAGTCAATGAATGAGTAGTAACAGACATTTAAGCAGAAATTCCACAATACTCAGTAAAAATTTATTCCAGTCAAAAAAAGACTCGATGAGAGGGATGAACCACCCATGGTCAACAATGGTTGTCAAGAAGAGTATTTAATCAAAACCTAGGCATGTAAAGGGGCAAAAACCAGCTATAGGCCAGGGTATCGGGTTTCTTTTAAGGACCAGCAGTGGATGACTAAAAAACTAATCAAGAGGAAGAAATTAATTATGAAAGTCAATTGGCAAGAAATATAAGGTAAACTTGAAGAGCTTCTAAGGCATATAAAATGAAAGACATTAGTTAAAATGGGTGTGAGACCTTTGGAGGATGTAAAAGGGGTATTAGTAATGGAAACAGGGAAACAGCACATGATTGTAACTAATATTTTGAAACAGTCTTCACAGTGGAGTACCCTATAAATATCTCAAAGTTAATAGTCAAGAAAGCTGATAATGGGAGGAATGTTCTTGCAACAGTCCCTATTACAGTGGACAAACTAATGGGACTGAAGATAGACAAGTTATTAGGATTTAGATCCAAGGGCATTAAGGGAAGTTGCTTTAGAAATAGTGAACACTTTTCTTGAGCTATACCAAGATTCACAGGACTCCGGGAGAGCTTCACCAGATTGAAAAGCCCTGCACAAGAAGACAGGGAGACAAAAAGTAGGAAATTATAGTCCAGTTAGCCCAACATCTGTTGTTGGAAAAATCCCAGAGTCCATTATTAAAGAAAAAATGGCAGAAAATTAAGAAAAGCCTAATACAAGCAAACAGAGTCAACATGGTTTTGTGAAAAGGAATCATGTTTGACAAATTTTCAAGAGTTCCTTGAGGATATAAAATGCAGGGTTGATAAAGGAGAACTGGTAGATGTAGTGTATTTTGATTTCAAGAAGGCATTCAATAAACATTTCTTGCACAAGATGAGAGCTCATAGTACTGGAGGGAATTGAGGATTGGTTAACACACAGAAGTTAGGATTAAGAGATAATAGTGTGGAGCTGGAGGAACACAACAAGTCAGGCAGCATCAGAGGAGCAGAAAAATTGATGTTTCAGGTCAGGACCCTTCCTGTCCAGACCCAAAACATCAACTTTTCTGCTCCTCTGATGCTGCCTGACCTGCTGTGTTCCTCCAGCTCCACATTGTGTTGTCTCTGATTCCAGCGCCTGAAGTTCTTGCTATCTCTGTTTAGAATTAATGTGTCTTTTTCAGGTTAGAAAGATGTAACTAGTGGAGTGCCACAAAGATCAGTCCTATGGCTTTGATTATTTACTATCTATATTAATAACTTGGAGGAGGCAGAGTTTAATGTATCCACATTTGCTTATGATACTAAAATAATCAGGAGGTAATGTTGTGATGCAAATTAAAGAATCTGCAAGGTGATTTAAATAGGCTGAGCGAGTGGGCAAAAAACTTGGCAGATGGAATTCAATGTAAGAAAACGTGAGAACATGTAGTTTGGTCAGAAGAATCAAAAGGCAGACTATTATTTAAATAGAAAAAGACTCAAAACAAAAGTGCCATGCAGAGGGATCTGGTTGTACTGGTGCATGAAACACAAGGGTTTAGCATGCAGGTACAGCAAGTTATTTAAATGACCATGGAATTTTGCCCTTTATTGCTAGGGGGTTGGAGTTTAAAAATAGGGAAGTATTGTTAAAAACTTCACAAGAGTGTTCATGAGGCCCTATCTGAAGTATTGTTTCCAGTTGTGGTCCCTATATTTAAGAAAAGATAAACTGGCATGGCTTGCAGTTCAAACAAGATTCACTCTTGGCTTATTCCTAGTATTAAAGAGTTGACTTATCAAAACAGGTTAGTCTTTTATTCATTAGAATTTAGAAGGATGAGAAACGATCTTATTGAACAGATATTCTGAGGGGATTTGACAGAGTAGATGTTAAGATGATGTTTCTACTAGTTGAAGAACCTTTAACTAGGGGACACAGTTACAGAATAAAAGGACACTCATTTAAAACTGAGATGTGAGGAATTTCTTCTGACAGAGAGTAGTGAATGTCTGGAATTCTCGACCCCAAAGTGTTGTGGAAGCTACATCACTGGAAGTATTTAAAATAGAGATAGATAAATTTTTAAAATATCAGAAAGTTGAATGTAATGATAAGCTGGCCCAAGAGAGGAATTGAGGCCTAGGGACGATTAGCCATGATCTCTTGAAGAGCAGACGGGTCTGAAGGGCCAAATATCCTACGCCTGCTCCTATTTCTTCTGTTATTATGGTTTTAAATTTCCTGAATCTTTGGTAAATTATTAAGGTCAATTCTATTCTTTACTTTTAACATAGCATTCAAATTGGTGGTAAGATATATAAAAGGTAAAACAAGGAAGTGAAAGTTATTTCTAAATAATTAATTAAAACTCCTTAAGAATGGCAGGGCAGGTTAGTTGTCAAGGCTGCAGATGTGGGAGTTCATGAAAACTACTGAGATTCAATGCAAACACATCTGACATCGATATTTGAGAAGCTTCAGCTCGAACAGCAGAGTAAATGAGCTGGAGACACTGAGATGCATTAGGGAGAGGGAAGGGAATCTGGATTCTTTGTACCAGGAAACATGCATACTATTTAGGATAAGGTTTACTGATACTGTCAGTGGTCAGGGACAGTAAGGCATAGCTGTGAGTGAGGTAAGTTGGAGGACCCAGAGGACAAGTATGTCAGTCTCTGCAATTATCCTTTAGATTTAAGGCTCTCAAGCATTTTTGGATGAGAGTGGGCACTGCAGCAAGATGAGCAAACTGACCATGGCACCATGATACAGGAAGCCCACTGGGGAGTAACAAGGAATGAAGTAGTGACAACACAGTGTGGAGCTGGAGGAACACACACAGGCCAGGCAGCAACAGAGGAGCAGGAACGTTGACGTTTCAAGTCAGGACCCTTCTTCAGAAATGGGGAGGGGGAAGGGAGCTGGGAAATTAATAGAGAGGAGGGGTGGGGCTGGGGAGTGGTAGTTGGGATGGTGATGGGTGAGTACAGGTAGGGAGTGGTGGGGATTGGTCAGTGGGATGGGTGGGGCCGATAGGTGGGAGTGAAAATGGACAGATTGTGTCAGGTCAAGGAGGCAGGGATGGCAGCGAGGGTTGGACAGGGGATAAGACCGGAGGGGTGGGGAGATTTTAAAACTGGTGAATTCTATGTTTAGGCCATCGGGCTGTAGGCTCCCAAGGTAGAATATGAAGTGTTGCTCCTCCAGATTGCGTGCGGCACTGGAGGAGGCCCAGAATGGACATGTCACCCAGGGAGCGGGAGGGGGAGTTGAAATGGTTGGCGATCTGAAGGTGTTGTTGTTTTGTCATGTGCAGAGCACGGATGCTCTACAAAATGGTCTCCAAGCCCACACTTGGTCTCACCGATGTAGAGGAGGCCACAT